TGTATTAACCATCCTGCCTCTGTGTTGATTAAATGAGAAAAAGAAACATCCCACAGCTAGATGGATTTTAGTTTTCTATACAGCCATTGTTTTCAGAAGGTAAAAACGAGTTCAACATCATAATTAATTAGTTACACCAGTTATGGAAGCTATTTCCCTGGAGGCCTTAAGCGATGGGACAGTGTCCCAGCGATTACACAGTTAGTGCACTCAACCTCTCCCTATCTAAGCATGCACTCCCAGAAGTTTGTTCCTTTTTCCAACTTCTCCGCAAGTGTGCCCGAGCACTCCTGTTACCTGCTGAACTGTTCATTTACTGAAACGTGTGCACGTGCACGTCTGTCAACTCCTCGTCTGATCGTTATCTGGTATGTGTGCACACGCACTTCTGTCACCTGCTCATCTGATCTTTATCTGACATGTGTGCACGTGCACTCCTGTCACCTGCTCATCTGACCATTCAGCTGTCACGATCCCTTGACAACAGGGCCAAGGCTGCATCATCCCTGGGTGGTTAACACACGCAGTGGATAATCAAAAGGTTAGGGGTCTGAGACACCTCAAAAGACAGACATGGCAAGCTACTTTCAAAAAAAATGAGTCATTAACAGCCCTGTGGAGGGGCACAGTTCTACTCCGATACCCATGAGGTCACCATGAGTCGGAATTATTCAATGGCAACAACTTTTTATGCCTGCTTTAGGGTGCTAAAAAAATCAGAGAATGTGTCCTTGCTCGTGCTGCTGATGACCTAAGTGTTGTCTGCCTAAGTGGGCTGGGAGATTAACACTCACTATGCCTAATACAGGGGACTCCGGTGGCTGAGTGTAAAGTGCCATGTTGCCAACTGAAAGGCACCTGGTTTGAATCCCCCAGCTGCCACACAGGAGAAAGAAAGACAATCTCCTCCCACGTGACTTATTGCCTCAGAAGACCTGCCGGAGAGTCAGCTAAGTGGTGGCTCATAACAACAACAGACCTAATAAAATGCAGCAAGAACGCTCGCTAGAGGGAAAGGTGTGACGTTTCACCTTTCACACTTTGGACATGAGGCTGGGCGAGGCTATTCCTCACAAAGGAGCATCATGCTTGGAAAGATGGAAGGTCAGAGGAGGAGAGGAAAGACCCCAAAGAGAAGGAATGACACAGTGACTTAGCGAAAGGCTCCAGTGTGTCAGAGATGATGGGGGTGGTGCAGGAAAAGGGCAGGGTGCAGGCCAGCTGTCAGTAAGCTTGTTGTGCCTCACACTCGACTTAATGACAACTAACAACAACCTTAGTGCTTTGGAGTAAAGAGCTGAGCTGCCAACTCAAAGGCACCCAGTTCAAATCCACCAGCTACACCAAGGGAGAAAGATGGGCAATCACCTCCCGTGCAACTTACAGCTTCTGAAAGCCTCCTGAAGAGTCGGCTGTGAATCAGTTCTGACTCGACATTACACAACTACAACGTGCCTAATAGATAATATTTGAAAAACATCAGTGAGGCAGAAACCCCCCACATCAGCAGACACCGCCCTGCCAGGGGAGTGGATGGAAGAGGACTGTCCATCTCTGTATCTCTAACCCACTACATAACATGTGGCAAATCTCCGTGTTTACAAATGTGGGCTGAGCGGATGAAGACCGAGTGAAGAAACGAAGAGGAAAAAACAACACAGTGAAGGTTTGCGGCCCTGAAGCTGTGGCGTTTCCTCATTTTTAGTCACGTGGGAACAAGTCACTGCATAAAGTCCGCAGTGTCGCCTTCTTTTGTCCACATAATATCAAAAAAACAAACTAAGAGCTGCTTAGTAAATACCATTCATGACGTTTCATTAGGTGTTTACTAAAACGTGTATGGCAGAAAAGTTCTCTGCAAGAGAACCCAATCACAGGAAAGATCTTCTGATCATTACCCATGGCTTATATTTCAGAGTTTTCATCTTCATTTACAAGTTCTAAAATAAAGAGAATGTCAAGGATAGAAAAGATTTTTGCCCTTCGTTATCTCCCCCTCTCTCTGGATAACAGAAAACGACAGTTGCCAAGAAACGTACCTACTCGCTCAACCAGAAACCAAGTCTATTTATTCCTTTCTTTTCCGAGCATACACCCCGCTTCCTCATTAAGGTTATTTACCTAAAGCAATTCTCCAATTACTTAAATACCAAATTTTTAACACCTGTAAGTCCTAGAAATATGTACTAGAAAAAGTGACTCTGAAAACATTTTCTAAAATACATGTAATGAGCGTAACTAAACCATGAAAATTAAACTCGTCTCAATCTTCAAATCTTTTATTCTTAAAATCTTCAAAAGAAGACCTGTGCTATATGGCTCTTCCACTCACCACGAAAGACACCAATGAAAGAGCCACGCAAACAACATGTATCCTCACCATTTTTTTTTTTCATAAAGCCACACCCTTTTCCGCTGCTAGCTATGCAGCAACAATTAAAAATATTTCCAGTAACTACTTTAGAGTTGAGGGGACAAAAATAGGTATTCAAATGTAAGCAGGATAACTCACATGTAGACATAAAGAATACCCTGATTGTTCCCTTGTTAGTCATTCTCTGTCCACAAAGTCATTGTTCAATGGGTTTGGCAATGAGCCAGGCAGAGGAATGAGGAAGTTTCACGGGACATTTCCTCCTCCACCGACTGTCACAGGGCAGGAGGCAGGAGATACCTGCGGCCTTGCCTGTAAGCTGAGCTTTGCAGCCTCCAGCACTTTATAACGTCCACCACGTATGTGCCTTAGAAATACTGCACGGCTTTACGCATCACTCGCTAGCAGTCACTGCCCGGGCAAATGCCAACTCTTGCTTGCCTTGGCAGAGTTAAGAAATACTGTCCTGTAATAAATACTCGTAGGCACCCTCGATAGGGTTTCCGAGGCTGTAGATTGCAAGAGGAGCTGACTGCCCATCTCTTCCCACAAGGGTTTCAGTCACCTAGCGCAAAGCCTTGGTTAGCAGGGTAGCTTGCTACAGACTAACCGCCAGCACTCTCGGTTACATAATGGGGTAAGAGGAAACCAGGATAGCAGTTATAGGGGGAAATTACAATGTTTTATTTCCCTAGGTGTTTTAAGATATATTTACCAACGTACTGTGACAATGTTACTAGATGCAAATACTTGAAAATGTAAATCACCACCCAACTGTGTGGTAACGTCATAAATGATATATACTACCTTCTAACTCACTGTTATGGAGGGAATCAGAACAGACTCGTACAGATCCTCCAATGGGTTTTCAGGGGCTGTAAACCACACGGGAACAAACTGTCCATCTCTCTTCCAAAGAGCCGCTGGTGGATTCACACCTCGAGAGAGGTACCGTGTTTGGATCTGCAGCACACCACCAGAGCTCCCTTGTGCCCTATGCCAGGTCCTGATAACATATTCCTGGGCATCTTATCTGATGTTAGGGGGTTTTTATCTTACTTACTCCTCAGAGAAAGAAAAGAAATACTATCTGATAAGAAAGTTTCTATTGGTCTCACTGCTGCCTTCTCCTCTCCTCACACCTCCCTTGGCAGGTGCACTGGGCCAGAGCTCCATCCACACTGCCAGGAGCTGCAGGGGCTGAGAGCCTCCACCAGCTGCAGGGGCAGCTGGCCCTGCCTTATCCATTACAGAGGAAAAACAACTCCCCGTGGAACGGGACAGAGTGAGATCCGACCGAAACAAGTAACCAAGGCATGGACAACCTTTTTTTTTTTTTTTAGCACTAAAAGATAGTTGAGTTTTTAAAAAGTCACTTGTGTGGCATAAAAGTAACAATCACTAAGCATCTTTCACTGCACATTCCAGGCTCTGGGCAAATGTTTCTACACATCTGGAGAATCACTGACTAAAGAGGTTTAGGAATATTCACTAGGGAGCCCAAACCACACGATTTCCTCCAAGAAATCACAAGCTCCATCAGCTGAGAACTTTAACCAGTTACATCTTTACAGCACTACTCAATAAACAACCATATTAGCAGAAAAGCAATAAAAAGCTCCTAAACAATAAGTATTTCACAACAAACATAACATAATCACATTTTACTGAAATTCTCAGTTCAAGGGTCCAGGGTTAGGAATACCATATTGAAGGCACTCCAACGTAAGTCATTCAGTCTTACTGCTGCTGAGGAAAGCAATTCAATATAAATCAAGCCCATTATTAAGAAGATTTTAAGTTCTGATTCTTAAAGGCATGAATTGAAAATTAACTATCCATATACTTTATGATAATAGCCTTTGAGCTTCCATGTTAAAAAAACCCCCACTAAGTAGATTTTAACAATCCCTCTAACAGATAATGTGAAAGGCCCAATTGTCTTCACAGCGCATGGTGGCGGTTTCTGCAGCTTGCTTAAAAAATTATGTGCTTTTATTGTACTGACGAAATTCCAGGCAAGAAGCACAGCCTACTCAGCGATGTTAACACAACCACTTTTCACATTCCTCCCTCAGAACGTCTACCGAAGCACTTGACTTTATCCAAACAGCTCAGAGTTCAGTGTTAGGATGAGAAACTTCCCTCTGGGTTTAGCATTTAGCTTCTGACTTTGTTCTCGCAAACCTCTCGGCAAAACAAGTCAGAGAGAGTGCTGCGGGATCCCAACTGTCAGTGTTCTTAAACCCTCCAAGCGTCTCCCTCCTAATAACTTAAAAACTAAATGTAAAACTCTCCCCTCACCCCCATTCTCTCAAAGTACATCTCTTTCCAACTCTATTAGAACATGTCTCTTATGTTTGGAAATCTGCAGGTAGGTGGGACACACTCTGGAACAATACATAATTGTTCTTTACAAAGAAGGCTCCTGAAAACCACATTTGCCAACAAAATGTCAACATTTCTTTCCTCACAAAGAAGAATCAAAGTGGCACCGGAGTTACAGGAAAAAGAGGGGAGAGTTCACGAGAGACAAGTAGAGCCAGTTCTCAAATCAGACTGGGTGACTCACGCCCAAGCACCCGGGCGGTGGGGCAGCATCAGATTCTGGGGAAGACGCTCTTACCAGCACTGGCCCTGGGCTCTCCACGTCCACTTCTCCCTGGGCTGCATCCTTGTATTGCAGGGGAGACTCGATCACTAGCTCTTTTTTGACACTTCTGCTAGCTGTCCTGCATTTATCAGGCTGCATTCTCCGCTGAGAAAGTCAAGTCCAAAAGCCTGGAACAGGGACAGCCGAGAGCCCCTGGCTGTGCAGGGCAAACGCATGCCAGGAGCCCAAAGGAGGAAAGGACGCTAGCGTCGCAGGCACCAGTGGTCAGCCCGCTGGCTGGGTCCCGCCTGGGAGCTCCAGCTGCAGGACCTGGCGTGGTGGGAAAGCATGACAGCGAGGGCCAGCCTCCCGGAGTGTTACTACTCCTCGGGAAATGGGAGGCTCCCACTCGTCAGCCAAAGGAAAACAAACCCCAGATTGTACAATGCACGGCGTCCTGCCTCTCCTACAGGACGGCCGTATTGTGTCTGGTCCTCACAGCATGGGTGAAATCTATCCGGATCAGAATCGGGCAGTGATTAAAAGAATACAATTCCCAGTTAACGGCTTTCCTCGTTACTTTAACTCTGAAGCTCAGGGGACCGAGGAGAAAGGCCAAGTTGTCTGGCTTTTCTAAGATTATTAAAGTTTCTGAAGGCTGTCATTTGTGGTATGGTTAAACACCAAGCGTTTGGCTGCTGATCAAAGCAGAGAAGATGGAACAGTATTAAAGAGAATTTGAATTTCAATTCACCAACAGGTATGTGAGGACCCAGTATGAGCCCAGAAGCAGGTACTGAGGACTGAGGGCATCTCTGTATAGCTAGAAAGTAGGGTGTCATTCTCATTGGGGAATCAGGATAGTCACAAAGGCAAGATAAACAGATGTGGAACTGCAAGTGACAAAGTAATCCAATTTATAGGCAGATAAGAGCCCAGGAAAAGTGACTCACCACTGTAGGGTTCAATGGTGACAGCACCCAGTAAACATTCATCCACACTCCCTGGAATGCTGCAGCCGGTCACCCAAGTAACTACAACTCTGTTTATTACCCTGTAATCAGGAGTACTTAGTAAATAGTAACAGTGGTCATCGAGTTGATCTGATCCCTGGTGGCCCCCAGGTGTGCCAGAGGAAGACTGTGTTCACAGCATCTGTAGAGCTGACTTTTTTTAGAACTAGGTCGCCAAGGCTTTTTTGCCACATTCTTCTAAGTGAATTTGAACCCTCAGCCTTTTGTTTGTCAGTGAGGCACGCCAACAGTGTGTACTACTCAGGGACTCCCAGCAGTAACTGTTGTCTGAGGGTGCCATCAAGTCAACTATGAATCGTAGCATCCTTAGTACAGTACTTGTTGCTTTGCTGTTAGGTGTCACTGAATCGCACGTCTCTCGCTGCGACCCTATGAACAAGAGATCTGAACTCCGTCCTCTCCTGTGCCATCCTCACCGTCTCTGACACACTTGTGCTGCAGTCACTGTATGGGTCCCTCTCACTGCAGGTTTTTTCTCTTTTGCTGAGCTTTCCAAGTATGACGTCCCCTTTCCAAGAACGGCCTCTCCTAACATCATGCCCAAAGCATGTGAGATGAAGCTTCTCCTTACTTCCCTCCACGAAGCACTCTGGCTGGACTTTCTTCAGGATGTATCTGTTTATTCTTTTGGCAACCCATGGGATATTCAGTACTGTTCTTCAACAATACAACACAAAGGCATAGAGTCTTCTTATAGCATCCTTATTCACTGTCTAGTTCTCAGATGCATTACAGATAACGAAAAAGAATATGGCTTGAACTGGATGTATCTTGGTCTTCACATCACTGCCCTTCAGGACTCAGGAGAGGTTCCTGACAGCACACTTTTCCAGTGCTATACATCTCATCATCTCTTGGCTGGTACTCCTACTGGTACTAAGGGTATGGATTGTGGATCCAAGTAAGAAGAATCGTTGACAAGTTCAATCCTATCACAATCTTATCATGATGATGCCTACTGGCCCTGTGGCCCAGAATAGCATCAGCTGATCATAAACAATGATAGTTATCATATGGCAGGAATAGGTGTCATCAGATACAATGCACAAGATAATACATGAACAATTACACAAGCATCTCAAATCTTACATCTCCCACTTTCAATGCAAAAAATAAATGTCTGGGGCTGGGGCAGTTCAGGGCAGATCGTAAGGAGCCCAGCTTCCTTCCATTCCACCACGGCCACACCCACTCGCCTTGACAGCTAAGTCTAGTCTCTGCCACACCACATTCCAGGAAGCCTTCTGAGCGTAGAGATACTAATTATATAATTAATCACAACAGAGTATTGTGATTAAGTAAGTTCATAGCAAGAAGCTAGTGATTTCTAGAATACATTTCTCTATTTTTTTTTATTGTGACTTTAATGAAAGTTACAGAGAGGTTGTATTTTCATTCATTCATTGCTGCACATTTTTCTCCCTCCTCCCTTCCCCTCTCTCAGTTCACTCTGTAATGCACTTCTTGTTCCAGATTGTTAATTGTCATACATGGAATGCCTAATCCTATATTCCTTCAGGCCATCCCTCCCCTCATCTAGTCCACTACAGTGTTATCTACCCACTCTTTCCTTCTCTCTGCCTCCGCCACACAGGGTGATGTTATGCGGTATTTGTCCTTCTGACTGAGATATTTCACTCAGAATAATGTCTTTCAGACTCACCCATATTGTGTAATGTTTTACAAGTTCAATGTCATGTAATATTCCTTTGTGTGAATGTACTACAGTTTTTTCTATCCATTTGTTTGTTGATAGGCTGTTGGGCTGCTTCTAGCTCTTTGCTATTGTGAATAATACAACAATAAAATGGGATGTACGTACATCTGTTCGAGTTGTGGCTCTGGTTTCTTTAGGATCTATTTCCAGTAGTGGGATAGCTGAGCCAAATGGTATTTCCATCTCTAACCTTTTGAGGAAGCCCCAGACCGCCTTTCACAGTGCTTGTACCATGTTACATTTTCACCAGAGTTTCAAGTTCTCCACATCCTTGCTGGCATTTGTTGTTTGCTGTCTTGTTGAACTTTGCTATAAACCTAATCCCTCTACAGATCAAAAAACTTCTCCGTTAGGATAAAAAGGAAACCTACAGACTTGGAAAAAAATATTTGGGAGTGGCATACCTGGTAAGGGACTTAAAATGTATAGATTACATCAGCATCTCAACAAGAAAAAGGCAAACAACCCAATGACAAAATGGACAGAAGATATGAAGAGACACTTCACCAAAGAAGAAATTCAGATGGCCAACAAACACATGAAGAAATGTTCCAAATCTCTATCAGAAAGAGGTCAGTCAAAAGAACCATGAGAGATCATCTCACCCCAGCAACAATACATTTCTTTACAACCTATTTATTTCTCAGCTGTGGGTTAACTTTCGAGTTTAAAATCCTTCTACCAAATCTCTACTCTAAAATAATACAGGCCATGAACTAGCAAAAAAATGCTTTTTATAAGGTTACAAGGTGGGGGAGAAGAGAATGAGTCTCAGCCACATAAATACAGAACTGCAATGTTAGATCCAGACTTAGAAATATGCCCTAACACAAAAGGGGTCAAAAAGGCTGGAGCTGAGCGCACTCTACAGAACAAGTACAAACTACTAAGGGGCCACTCAACCAATTCAACGCAAATCTTTTTTAAACGGCTCAACAAGACCTATAAAAGTCAATTCTTCCCTAAACCACCATAGTTCTGCCATATCAGTTCTACACCTTTACAAAGAGAAATGTGCTACCCTATTTTATGGGTCAAAATAGCCTGCCCTTCTGAAAAGAAATGGACGCAACTTAGACAATGTATTTGACAAACACCAGAGAGTATTCAAGGAACCCTGGTAGTACAGGGGACTAGACAGTGGGCTGCTAGCCCAAAGGTGGCCAGTTCAAACCTGTCAGCCACTCTTATGGGAAAAGACACGGAAGTTTCTTTCTGTAAAGATGTACAGTCTTGGAAATCCTAAAGAGAATTTCTACTGTCGTCTGGGGACGCTGTGAGTTGGAACTGCCTTGACAGTAGTGGGTTAAATAGTGCGCATTGTGTGCAAACCTTATTTAAGTCCCTTACAGATTTCAATTTACTTCTTTTTTCATTGTTGGTCTATGAAGTAGTTAACATTATTCTCACTTTACAGATTTAAGCACAGAGAGGTTGTATAACGTGCACCAGGTCACACAGCAAAGAAGTGACACTCTGGGTCCAGCCTGCATACTTTAAACTATGCTATTAAGCTGGATCAGTGATCTATCCCAACCATAAACAAACTGGTAAAAAAACCCAAACTATGTAAAACTACCAATCCCCAGCTAAGGACTAAGGACAACATCAGTATCTGGGTTTGAGGTCATTAAAATAGAAAGTACAGAGATCTTTAAATCAGCATCTTTAAACAGCATCTGGTTTTTGGAAAATGATTTAACAATGCCTTTGAGCTGTGGTGCTGGAGAAGAGTATTGAGAATAACATGGACTGCTAGGAAAACAAACAGATTTGTCCTGGAAAGGGTTAAACCGGGTGGCTCCTTGGAGGCAAGGATTCTGAGGCTCCGTCTAACATACTTTGGACATGTTGTGAGGAGAGACTGGTCCTTGGAGAGGGACATCATGCTTGGGAGGGTGGAGGGACGGCGCAGGAGAGGAAGGCCCTCTATGAGGTGGATTGATTCAGCGACTGGGATAATTGGGATGGGAGTGTCAGAGACAGTGCGATTGGCACAGGACAGAGCAGAGTTTAGGGCTGTTGTACATAGGGTCGCTATGAGTCGCAAGCGACTCGACGGCACATAACAACCACAACATTTTTTGTTGCTGCTGTTGTTATCCCACCTTCAAGCAATTAACCTTGGTTTTAAATTCCAGGCTTTGGCCAGGTTATCAAGACAAGTCACACCCGCTGTGTTGCTAGAACACACTGGAAAGCGCTCAAGCAAATTAAAACCAACTGTTCTTCCCACTCTGCTGTCGAACTACCATCACACAAACAAAGAAAAACCCCACTGCTGTCAAGTCGATTCCAATTCACAGAGACCCTATAGGACAAAATAAAACTGGGCCCTGGAGTTTTCAAATCTTCAGGGGACACAGTACTAGTACATCTTTACCCCACAGACCCACACGTAGTCTTGAACCACTCAAGTGGCCTTTGGGTTAGCATGAGAGCATGTTAACCATTGCACCATGGCTCTATGAACAGAAACCAAAAAGCTGAATATGCTGCCTTCCAGATGCTTCCAATTTCAGGCTTCTGAGGTTGCAAATACAAACCGGAGGAGACTGCCTCATCTTTATTTGAACTGCTGACCTTGCAGTTCACA